TGTAACACCGATTCCAGACTGCAGCGCGAGCCTTGATTCAGCATTGGCACCAATGCTCAATCAATGCTGCGGACGCCTAATGCAGGACTGAAACAAGAATGCTTCCACTGTTCCCAAATTTACTCGTTTCTCACGTTTATTCAATATAATGTGAATATATGAATTATTGATAATAATAATAAATATTATTGTTATTATTTTAATTCATGTATGTGTGTTTATATACATTTAATGACAATAAGTTATTATTTGTAATAATTATATTATTTTCAAATAAATAAGAATATATTACTAACAATAAATATCATTTGAATAGTAATTTAAAAAAAATAATTTTAGTAAAAAAAGACAATTTTTCTGTTAATCGTTACATTTTTTTCTTGATTTTTAACAGACTTTTAACATTATTTATTTATTTTTTATTCACGACACAACACACAATTTTATTATTTTATGTAAACGCTTATAACAAAGAATGAAAAATATTCGCTCGCATGTGGGATCGAAACTCACGCACCCCGCCCCTAACGCATACCGGAAGTTCTCAACGAACGCATTTAAACCGCTCGGCCACAGAAGGCTGGAAGGCTTCTCGCCTAATCTACTATATCAATGCCAGTGCCGTCACTCAATATTGGTTCAGCATGGGACACCAATGTTCGTCCCATGCTCGATTCAAGACTCGGTCAATCTTGATACAATATTCAGTTTCTTTATTACCGTGTGCACTGTACAATATTATCTATAAATATTTATAAATTATTTAATATTAAAATATTTTTTCTGATAATTTTATATGTAAGTTAAATTATATATTATTTTTTTTCTCGCACAGTGTCAAATTATTATTTTCAAAGTTCAAGAGTTTCGTTTATCCGAAAAATTTTCAGTGAAAAAAATGTTCATTAGGTAGTAATAAATATTTATGCCTAGTAGTTTTACACTAGGATTAACTGTTTACTGAATATTATCAAAAATATATTTTTTGTCAAACGCGCGCGACTAAACACAATTAACCTTGAGACGTTGCGATTGTCGTGCTCCCACCATCCCATCTACTCAATGCACTCCCCGCCTGTGACGTCATGAGGGGAAAGCATTGAGTAGATGGGATGGTGGGAGCACGACAATCGCAACGTCTCAAGGTTATTTGTGTTTAGTCGCGCGCGTTTGACGAAAAATATATTTTTGATAATATTCAGTAAACAGTTAAACCTAGTGTAAAACTACTAGGCATAAATATTTATTACTACCTAATGAACATTTTTTTCACTGAAAATTTTTCAGATAAACGAAACTCTTGAACTTTGAAAATAATAATTTGACATTGCAAGAAAAAAAATAATATATAATTTAATTTTATTTAAATGAATCTTATATAATGAATATAAATATTATACACTAAATAAATATTAATATTTACTTACCAATTCATATCTTAATAACAATAATAATAATACTTATTATATTATTTAATAATAATTAATAATAATAATTTTTAAATAGTATAAAAAATTACTAAAAATTATCAGAAATAATATTTTAATATTAAATAATTTATAAGTATTTATATCTATTATTGTTAAGTGTACACGGTAATAAATAAACTATCAAGATTGATTCAAGCTTGAATAAAGACTGGATGTTGAAGCTCCACTCACGAAGATTGACCGAGTGTTAAATCGAGCATAAGACGTACATTGGTGTCCCATGCTGAACCAATATTTAGTGACAATGATATAAAGACTGCTTCAACTCTGGGTTACCCACGCTGGGCGTTCAAGACTCAATCAAGCTTCAACCCATCGTCAGCATTGGTCTTTCGCGCCTGGGAAATATTTATTTCATAATTTTCTAATTAAACTCTATACAGTTAAACTGTATACAGTTGAAATACTTGCGCCCAATGGGAAATGCCAGTGTAGTGCCGATGTTCACCACTGGCTTAGTACTCAGACGATTGTTCGGCGTAGTCTAGCCGAGCCTCGACAATTAGTGCTGGCGCAGTACAGAATTTTTGTTTCGCCAAAGCTTGGACAAGCCACGGCGGCAAGTGCTGGCTGAGTATAGAAAAATTGTTCACAACGCTCTTTGCCAACATTGCTTTTTTGACATAAACTTGAAAAAAATTATAAAAAAAGTTTATGAATGTTTATAAATATAAATTTATTGAAAAAATTAATATTTTACTTTTCAGTTGTTCATTTTTTATTTTTATTAAATTTAATAATAATAATTTAACATAATTGTCTAATTTCGTAAATAATAAATTATTTAAACAAATTAAAATTATAAACAAAATTTAAACTTTAATCTCAATAATAATTTGGTTCCTATTAAAATACTATTATACTTCTTACTATGAATAAAAAATTATTAATAAATTACCACGTAATTTAAGAATTACGTAAAATGTTAAATGCAATAAGTAAAGTAATTTAATTTAATTATTAAAAATTTAGTTTAATTTATTTTACTTCAATTTATAATTTCTAACGTATCCCAATTTCTTTCTCATCTTTGACTCAATAATTGTATGTCTGAATGATACTGATGAGATATTAATACTTTCATGTACACATGTGTCGTTAGCATAGTGGTTAGAGCGTTAGTCTGTTAGTCCGTAGGTCGTAGGTTCGATTCCCCTCGTCAGCAATTTTGTTTATTTTCATAGGTTTGCGATATTTCTAGATTCCAATCGTTAGGTACTAAAATATGAAAATCTAATGCACACTTACTGTAATTGTTTATTATTTAATTTTTAAATGTTATAAACAATTTTTTTCTACTTCATTTACTATATCCATTGTTAGTCTCCATCTTTAATACAATTTCTTTAAGAAGAGAAATATTTTATGAATAATAACTATTTATTAATATTATTTACCATTTTGTTGTTAAATAATTTATAATTATGAATTTATGACTAATTAATAACAATACGGCATTTATTGCGGCAATATTCTCAGCCAGCACTGGTCCAATGCTGCGCCAGCGCTGTCTGGCAGCACTGACAGACAGTACTTCGGCAGCGCCAGACGGCGTTATCATCCCAGTGCCATGCCAGTGCTGGCTCTCAGCCTTGCCGCCAGTGCTGCCAGTGCTGGCGCAGTACTACGCCAGTTGTTAATTTCCCATTGGGCGTTTGAATAAAATTTTATATGTTTGACCGTAAACAGTTCGACTTTATACTACTTAACTTTATATAATGTTTAATATTAAATTGCATACAGTTAAATTCTATACAGTAAATCAGAATGCCCTTGAAATATTATTCACTTCGAAAATTGCATACAATTAAACTGCATACTAACAAAATTAAAAAATATAAAAGTTTAATTTCATACAGTTGAATTGTATACAGAATAATATTATTAAAAAAATTAAAAATTAATAAATTAATTAATTTTTATTAAATTATTTAATATTATTTGAATAATATTTCAAGGGCATTCTGATTTACTGTATAGAATTTAACTGTATGCAATTTAATATTAAACATTATATAAAGTTAAGTAGTATAAAGTCGAACTGTTTACGGTCAAACATATAAAATTTTATTCAAACGCAAGTATTTCAACTGTATACAGTTTAACTGTATAGAGTTTAATTAGAAAATTATGAAATAAATATTTGTATAAAGTCAAACCGTATTCAATATATGTATGCAGTTAATTATGTATGCAGTTAAAATGTGCAGAATCAAATCCGCCCCGTTTTATCGACTACTAATAAGGGGCCGTTCAAAAAATACGTAACGCTTTAGGGGGGAGGGGGGGTCAAGCTATTTGTTACGGTTAGCAGAAAAAATGGCGCTACTGTATACAACATTGCGTTACATGGGGGGAGGAGGGGTCCAAATTTTCGAAAAATAGCGTTACGTATTTTTTGAACGGCCCCTAAAACAGTTCTACTAATTGTTAGTAGAATTCTACTAAGCAATTAGTAAAATCTATAAATAATTAGTAAAATTTCACTATTTGTTAGTAAAATTATTACTAAATCATTTGGTGGAAGACTTTTTATTTCATTAGTAACTTTCTACTAATTCAGATTTAGAGAGAAGAGTTTCCTGTTTTGCTGATTACGAATTTGAAATAATTTTAAAAAAATTTTAAATAGAAAATCCAATATGGTGGATACATTTCTGAAAAATCAAATCTTTTTGCATGATTTTTTTTGAACTTCTCGTTATTATATAATGATTTGAATGTAATTCAAGAATTATTAAAAAAATGTTACTAGACTTTTATAGATATAATAGAACTTGAAATTTTTGAAATTTTAACAGTATTAAAGAATTTTAAAGACAACAAGAATTAATCAATTTTCAATTTCATTTTATTTTCATAAGCTTAATTTATTTTTAAATTATTCATTTAATTTATTATTTAAATTTTATTCTGTTTTTAGAATAATTTTAAACTTCTTTTTTTCTAAGTTTCCATGATAATATTATTTTTAATGTGTCAAAATGTTTTGATTGCCGAATGTAGATATTATGTATTTTACTTAAATAATATTAATTATGGATAAAGAAAGGGAAGTAAAACTTTCAATAAAACGTTATTCATTTTTTGTTCATACTGTTTGTACTTTTAATATAAAATAAAACTAGAAATTTTTTTAGAATATTAAAATAATTATAACTCGTGGTTATTTATTTATTTACTTCTATTGCTTTTTAATTATAATAAATAATTAATCCCAAAATATTTTTAAAACAGTATTTAAAATATAAATAATTTTTGACATTTTGAAACCACTTTTAAAATTTTTAAAAAACTAAATTCAGATTCATAATAATTAGCGACCCCAAAAACCCCTTCATACCCACTTCTGTGAAAATTGAATTATTTTTAAAATTTTCATCCGCCATATTAGATCCGCCATTTTGAATTTTGAAAAATTAACATCATATTTGTAATCAGCTACCCAAAAAACCCCAAGATACCGATTGATGTGAAAATCCAACTTTATGAAAAATCTATGCATTGTGACGTTGCAATTTTTGCAACTCACAAAACTTGCCTTTTTTTGTATTATTTACCTTTTGTTTACAAGTTACACACGATAATTAATTAATTAAGTAGTTGAAATCCCTGGCAACACGGTACCTGCGAAAGAACGAAACATTCCACGACCGATTGCGATTTTAGATTATAATTATTATTTTGTACTGCCGTCTTCTCTCCTTATTTCATGTAAATTTTGTACGAGTCAAGCCAAGGACCAAGGACCAAGGATTATTTGCTGATGAGACGTTCGGAAATCACTCTCTATAGTAACTGTTCAATTTAAATTTCACAAAAGCCAACACGCAATATTTTCGGAGAATGAGTCCAACTTGTCAATTCGAATTATGAAGCCAGTCCAATAATCTGCAAAAATGAGGGAAACCATTGTTATCGAGGAAAATTCGTTACGACAACCATAGTTGTATTTACCATTTATCTATGCAAGATTCAAACATGTAATAGATGAGCAAGATAAAGAGATTTCGGATATTTGTTGCTGATTCACCGAAGATTGAGGCTCAACATTATGACTTGGGCGAAATTTGAGGTTAAGCACACATGTTTTTGTTATGACACTGCTGCCAACCGGAGAACGAGATTCGCACAGCTGATCGAATGAATTCTACGGACAGCATCATTTTGTTACGATTAACAGCGTCGCAGTCGACAGCGACAATGTTACCTATTTCCTTAGTTAACTACGATTCCCGATGGATGAGGAGGACGAAAATCCTAATTTTGAGGTTATGTTGAAGAACGTCCAATTTAGTCAGAAACGCTAAGTAGATTAATTATTCGCACCTGAGGACTCAAGAATGGACATTTATTGCCGGATAGTCATTGGAATTACTGAAAATATCTACCAAAAACATTAATTTGGTTTATAGTGAAATCAAATTTGAATAAGTTACGCGCCACTTCCAGTAGCAGAAAATTTCCGAAAAACAATCAGCCAATCAGCGATCACCGTCAACACCTGAGATTTCATACACATCGTCGTTATCCAGTTTCCACTCTTTGTCATTTCTCGGTTCTTCTTTGATTTTTTTTTATATACAGAGATACTGTAAAAACCGTGACGCCAGGCAGAAGCCAATTATTTTGTAAATTAACATATTTTCATTTTCCGAGAGAGGAGAATTAAGTAGATACCCTCTTCTCGTGACAAAAATTTAATTGGTGAGTGAGTTTTGTTAAATTTAATTTCTCTTTCGCTTTAAGTTCACTTTTTCAGTCATAAAATGACTAATGCAAAAAAATTGAACTTGGACATGGGTAAGACTCCGTCAGAAAAAAAGCGATTTGCAAGTGGTCTTCCGATTTCTTCGAAACCTTGGGAAATAGAAGTCTTATATGAATTAAATTTAACCCTAAAAGGATTTTAAAAAATTTTCAAAATGGCGGCCGCTACGCCATATTGAAAATGAGTGTTGCGTTTTTTTCAAAAATTAATAACTCTGAAACTTTTTGATCGATTTTAATAAAATTTACAGGCGATATAGTTAAAAATACGTAGTTTAATTTGATATTATGAACAAAAAAAAATTTCCAAAATTTGTCAAAAAAAAAGTCAAAAAAATTTTTTGAATTAATTTTTAGTTCAGTTGGCCTAATTTTTGTATTTTCTAATAAGTAAATATCGATTCCTTGTAATTTCACCTTTCATTTCATAAAAAAAAATTTATGGAGACTCCAATAGTTCTCGAGATATTGCGACTTTAGTGGGAGCGCGTACCGCGGAATTAAACTTCGTAGCGAGGCGGAATATGAAGCGAGCGTACAAACGTGCACAATAGGGTGTCCGTAACAATGCGACTTTCGAATTTTGTTTACGCCACCCCCCAGTTTAGTTCCAATAAAATAAAAAAAAATTTTCTAAAATTTGAAGCCGATTGATTAATATTAACACGTGCCAGAGATCCATCGAAATTTCCCATTAAAAATACATAGGAAAAATGCACTTTTTAAAAAAAAATTCATAACTTTTTTAATATTCATGCAAAAAATTCTCCAGGTCACATTTGCCTTCATTTTTAGCTGCACTATAAGATAGCACTTTGCCAAAAATTTAATTTTGAAAAATTTTTAAAATGGCGGATGATTAAAGTGGGTCATAAAAATGCACCACAATATATCCAAGGTTTTAACACATAAGTGTTGTCAAAAATTCAAAAAAATTTCTTACTCGGGGCTATTTTCGATCGTTCATCATGAATCTGATATCTGAAATTAATTTTTCCAAATTTTCGATCCAATATGGCGGGTTCAAAATTTTGATTTTCTACATTTTTAAAGTAAAAATTCTAAAATTTGTTTGATTCAACCAAATCATTTTATTTGAGTCAAACAAACATATTTGCTTGTCTTAAAAAGTACATGTGTGAATTTAAAAATGGCGATCTCACTTGTCTACAGTCCGCGTTCGCGTCAAATTTATTTGTTAAATCGGTAAATCAAAGAAAAAAAATTATAAGTGTCGGTTAAATAAATATTAAATACATTGTGTTCATTGACTTACTGCATATTTAATTTGTACCAGTGAGAAGAATATTTACAAAAAGGTTTTGTGAAGTTTTCAGTTTGTTGTTTCGAAAAAACTTTTTCCTGAGTGCACGTATAAAAATCATAATTATAATATGTTTAATGTAATATTTCAAATGTTTTTTATAATTAAGTAATTTTGTTTATATGAAGAAATACATATATAATATTTTACTTAATTGTTATTTATTTTCCTCTAATAATGTTTGAGTTTCCTAATTTAATATTTTCTAGTATACATATTATTGGTTAATTTATAATTTATTATATGTATAATTTTAAAATATCAATAATTATATAATAAATTATAAATTAACCAATAATACGTACTAGAAAATATTAAATTAGGAAATTCAAATATTATTAGAGGAAAATAAATAACAAAATTAAGTAAACAAAAATATTTATTTAAATGAACCAAATACGTTTACTAAAACTATTTATTTGAATCAAACAAATCTTTTCTCTTGAAATAAACAAATTTTTTAGTTATATTAAATAAAATTTTTTGGTTAAGTGTAATAAGCATTTGGTTAATACAAATAAACGTATTGGAAGAAATTTTTTGGTTGAATCAAACAAACGTTTGGTTGACTGTATAGCAATGCATTTATTTGGTTGATTTAACCAAAATTTGGTTGATTCGAACAAATTTTTTTCTGAGTGTACGAATCTAATGTTAAAATTTTATTTTTCAAATTATTCGATCCACTATGACGGATTTAAAATTATGATTTTCTACATTTTTAAGTAAATAGTCTAAATATTAATTTATAGATTAATATTTACAAAAAATAATTATTGGGATGTTTTAGAAACTCTTTTATAGAAATTTAACTTTTTATACCTCTGCTCTTAAAAATCGATTATTAAAGGAATATTTTTAAAAAAATTTTGAATCCGCCATGCCATATTAGATTCGGTAATTTAAAAAATAAATTTTTAAGATTAGATTCGTAAATAGCGCTTCCAAATATCGCCCTTGACGTTGTTTTAGAATGTTTACTTCGAAAATGTAGATAATCAAAATTTTGAACCTGCCATATTGGATCCAAAATTTTGAAAATTAATTTCTAATATCAGATTCATGATAAACGATCGAAAATAGCCCCGAGTAAGAAATTTTTTTGAATTTTTGACAACACTTATGTGTTAAAACCTTGGATATATTGTGGTTCATTTTTATGACCCACTTTAATCATCCGCCATTTTAAAAATTTTTCAAAATTAAATTTTTGGCAAAGTGCTATCTTATAGTGCAGCTAAAAATAAAGGCAAATGTGACCTGGAGATTTTTTGCATGAAAATTAAAAAAGTTATGAATTTTTTTTTAAAAAGTGCATTTTTCCTATGTATTTTTAATGGGAAATTTCGATGGATCTCTGGCACGTGTTAATATTAATCAATCGGCTTCAAATTTTGGGAAATTTTTTTTTATTTTATTGGAACTAAACTGGGGGGTGGCGTAAACAAAATTCGAAAGTCGCATTGTTACGGACACCCTATTGTGCACGTTTGTACGCTCGCTTCATATTCCGCCTCGCTACGGAGTTTAATTCCGCGGTACGCGCTTCCACTAAAGTCGCAATATCTCGAGAACTATTAGAGTCTCCATAAATTTTTTTTTATGAAATGAAAGGTGAAATTACAAGGAATCGATATTTACTTATTAGAAAATTCAAAAATTAGGCCAACTGAACTAAAAATTAATTCAAAAAATTTTTTTGACTTTTTTTTTGACAAATTTTGGAAATTTTTTTTTGTTCATAATATCAAATTAAACTACGTATTTTTAACTATATCGCCTGTAAATTTTATTAAAATCGATCAAAAAGTTTCAGAGTTATTAATTTTTGAAAAAAACGCAACACTCATTTTCAATATGGCGTAGCGGCCGCCATTTTGAAAATGTTTCAAAATACTTTTAGGGTTAAATTTAATTCATATAAGACTTCTATTTCCCAAGGTTTCGAAGAAATCGGAAGACCACTTGCAAATCGCTTTTTTTCTGACGGAGTCTTACCCACATGTGCTCGGGAATATGTCGGCTCCATGCCGGTAGGTTAATATTTTGTGAAAATTTATGATAATGAGACCAATTATTGCTTTGTTACCGATTTAATTCTTGTAATTCATTCGATTAATTATTTTGTTTGTTATTTTCCGAAAATATGCCCCCCTTTTCTTTGTTTCCGCGTAATTCTTTACAAGATTCAATTAATTTGTGCGTATTAGTAAATTGAAATGTGCCATTTACCGACAAAACTCAACTTAACATTTAAATCGGTTAAATTATGAGATTTAAGAATTTTGAGTGTCTGAAAATTAAGAGTGTTCCGCAAGAATTCAGATAAATTTCGATTATTATTTATTTAGTATGTCAGATTTCGATAATTTAATTTCTTTTATGTGATTTTCCGACATTTTGCGATTTTCGTTAGTCATGATGCAAAATCATGTAGTGTGAATTAATGGGAGATTTTCTTTCGTTAATTAAGTGATAATAGTGATAATTATTTCGACTTTAAAGTTTAACTTCTCTCCCATTAAAATGAAATCTCGGAAACTTACATGGTAAACTAATTTTGTCTATTTGCGTTTGATTGCTGATTAATTCTATTTTAGTGTTGTTTATTTACTCGAATTTCGGATAAATTTAGATGTTTTATTTCATGATTTTGTTCGATTTATTGAGTCTGATTTCATGAGTTATTCAAGTCGTGGAATGTTTCAAGATTATATTGCGCTTTGTTTGTTATTATAAATACTTTCGATTTCTGAACCAAATTTCGTTAATAACTGTAAATTTTGAGAATTGTTGAATTTAATGGAAATTTCAAATATAGAATTTTATTACAAATTTGGTTGTCTAATTCGCAAGAGAAACCTCAGCATAAAGAGATGAATCCTCCCCTTCTCCACTTATGTTAGCCGGACACTAAATAAATCTTAAATTGGGACGATATAAATATTTAACTTTGGTTATGTTGGTTGTTACGACTGGTTCCTTTTGAACCTGGCGCCCAACACTGTTTGGTTTGTTTCGGATTTGGGTTATTCAGTAAATGAGTTAGAATTATTATTATTATTGTTAAGAAGAAAAGTATTTTTTTTATTCGTCAAAATTTAAGATTGGAGTTGATAGTGCATAAAATTATCGAGCGAAATTATCCTGGTGGACTATAGTATTTTCCCGAATTAATTTATCACATCACAATGGCGCCCAACGTGGGGCCTGCCAATAATTTCTCTTGCTGATGGTGACTCTTATTGTTATGAAAATAAATTAATGGTTGAAGCGTAGTTCTGTCTTATTTTCACGATTATATATTTTTTTGTTAGAAACAATTTATCAGGAACGAAAAGTGACAAGCAAAGTTGGTCTCGAGCACTATAAACCAAAGTGACAAAACCTAATAATAATATTGTTCAATATTATTTTGCTAAACAAATTATGAGTATTTGCCAATAAAATTATATTATATTGATTTCTGATTTTATGTGCATTTATGTTGTTTATATATTATGTTGTTTATATATTTCTTATGTTTGCTGATCATTGCTGAATTTTGCTGAACCTTGATTGTTTTATTTGCCTTTTGATTTAAAAATTTGCTTTACCTCCTTTATTTTGCCCG